CACAAAGCTACATCCTCCCCCACCTCTTTGTGCTCTTAATTCTCTTCTGTCCTCCCCCTTTTCTCCCTCCATTAAGCATCTCCTGAATCTTCAATTTCTTCTCCCTATATCCTTTCCCCTGACTGCAAAAAATACGAAGTCTCTATCTTATAAAAGAAGCACCCTTCCGTAAAAACAAAATGTAGTCCTATTTCTCTTCTATTTACCGTCAAATTTCTCTAAACCATATTCTCCACCAGAGTGGTGAGTTGATTCTGTCCTGCCAAAATTCATGTCCACGGGAACCTCAGAAAAAGACTTGATTTGGAAATAGAGTTTTTGAGGAATCCATTAGTTAAGAATCTCTAGATAAAATCATCATGGATTTATGGTGAGCCCTAAATCCAATGACTGTTATCTTTATAGGAGAGAAGAGATGGATATTTGGGAACACAGAGAGACCCAGAGGTAGCCACAGGAAGACAGAAGCAGAGATTGGAGTTTTGCTGCCACAAGCCAAGGAATGCCTGGGACCTCCAGAAGCAAGAATAGGTAAGAATTCTTCTCTAGAGTCTTCTGACAGTGTGTGGCTCTGACAACACCTTGACTGGAGACTTCTAGCCTCCAGAACTGTAAGAGAATACATTCCTGTCATTGTAAGCCTCCCAGTCTGTGGCATTTGTATGGTAGCCCTGAGAAAGTAATGGAACCCACTTCTTCCTCTTCCTCATCAGGTGCTTGATCAAGAAGAGTAACTAAAACTTTATTGATCACCTAATATATTCCAACTTCTTCAGACACGTACCTCATTTGATCTTTAGCCTCTTAGAGGTAGTCTCCACTATTATCCAAATTTATACAGATGAGGTAACCAACTTTGAGTAATTTAATGAAGATCACACAGCTAGTAAGTGGTAGAGTGAGGGTTCAGGCTCCGTGGTCTGAACACTCAGTCATAACAACTGGCCACTACATGATCCTCAGTTCCTTGCAATTTGGCTTCTACTCCACTGAACATGTTCTCTCAAAAGATAGCAATGGTTTCCCAACAGTTAAACCAAATGCCTTTATCTTCCACTCTGTGACATTGGATATGTTGTCCCCTTCTCTTTGTAACTCTTCCCTTGGCATTGAAAGGTACTAGTTTTCTTCTGTACCCTAATTCTTCACTGATGTCTTTATTGGCTCCTCTTATTCCGCAATCCCTAAATTTAAATATTTCCTAGTGATGTCTGCTTGGCTTTCTTCCACCTCTGCACTCTCTTCCTCAGAGAGATCACCCATCTCCATGACTTCAGCTATAACTTCTATCTCAATAACTTTCCAAAATACCCCCCGCCCAAAGTTTGCTCTCTTTTGGGGGCTTCAAATCAGCATGCTTCTTCTTATCGATGTCCTCTTAGCTGTCCCGCAGTTATCCTATCTCTAGGTTTGCTCTGATTATGAGACCATTATCTTCCTGGTAATCAAGGCGCATGGTCACATTTGACCATCCCACTGAGACAGTTTATGAATCATATTGATTCTGCCTTCTCAGTCTCTTGCAAACTCTCCTCTCCATCCTGCTATTAATGGTTGAGTGAGACTTTTTTTTTGCCTCTCACTTGGTTTGTTGCAAGAGACTCCCACCTGTTCTGCCTTCATTGTCCCTGTCTTCAATCTATCCTACACACTGTTGCTTCTGGTGTATTTCTGAAACATATGTTTCTTCTCTGATTGAAAATCCCAGATGGGTCTCCATTCCCTGGAGAAGTTCAAAGTGCTGACCCTGACATTCTGTAATCCTCCAAAATTTAGTCCCAATGTGTATAATTCAATCGTATAGTATATCTCTTAGCCCCACCCAAGTATTCCCTAGAGCAATGGTTCCCAATCTTTTTGTCACTATTGTTTCCCCCTCCAGTCTTTTTAGACATTCCCCCCCCCCGCCAATTATCCCTCCCCATGAAATTTTAATAGGACAGATAGAGTATGTATTTGTCACGTTCTGTGGCCCTTTGGAGTGGAAAGCCACAAACCATTGTAATAGCAAAGATTGTTTTGGCCCCTCCAAGACCCGTTTTCATACCCTTGGAGGTGGTATCACTCCACCTCAGGAACTGAGAATGTATGTCCTAGAAGGAATATGAACTTTGGAATCAGAACCAGACTCGTATGTCTCCTCTGAGATGTACAAGTTATGTGGCTATGGAGATTCTCAATCTCTCTGGTCTTCAGGGTTCCCTGTGCCGGCAGTGAGCCTCCTTTAAGACTGCATCACAGACCAACTTCTGTCCTGTCTTATTTCCTTCACAGGTGTTAATCCCAAGAGCACCCTTTGGCAAACTTCCCACATGCTCATCTCCATCTCAGAGTCAGCTTCCTAGGGAACATGACCTGCGACAATTCCCTATTCACTGCCTGGCCTGGAGGCAGGGCTCCATAAATGTGAATTCTTTCCCCCCAGATTCTGATCAGCTTCCCAGGTTGCCAAGGATATTTCCTCTTGTTCAAGTCACCTTCTCCTTGATGTCTTTCTTGACTGCCTGCTTGAAGCAGGGTGGTGGAGGGGCGTACAACTGCGTCCTTGATGCCCCACTGCATTTTCTATTTGCCTCTGTTAGCACTTGCCTGACTGTACTGGCACAGAACAGGAAGGGCTGCTGAGTGACTAAGCAAGTTCTGCCTGTCTAGCAGGACATTCTCCTGTTGTCAGAAGCTGCATCAACCCTCCTGTGCCCAACCCAGATCAGAGAACGTGTATCACTTCTAGGTTCCAGGTCCTGCCCCACTTTATTATGTCCCACTAAATCCATTTACCTAAGGAGCACAAGGTTCCAATTTTGCTAGAGGTCAAGCTGTGGAAGGCATGGAAGATATCAGGTAAGATGGTTCTTTGGGACACTAGTCCACCATCTTCTTGGCCTGTTGACTTCCCAAATAAAGTCGCTATTCCTTGCCCCAACAACTGTCTCTCGATTTATTGGCCTGTGGTGCGGTAGGCAGTATGAGCTTAGACTTGGTAACAAAAACAGTTTAAAAAATGATGAGATCTTGATATCTCAGCTCTACTGATCTGCATGGCACAGAGTAGATGCTCATTAATAGTTTGTTAAGTATTTGATCTAACCAGGGAAGGGGGTTAGCAAAGTAGGCACACAGAGGGACAACAGTCATGGGGGGGTGTGCATATTAAGTTGCCAACGAGAACATTATTGATATGATTCACTGTCCATAAGACCAAGCTCAGGACAAGCATTCTGGGCTGTACAATCAAAGGAGTGGGTAACAAGAGAATCTAAGAAGTTCCACGGGAGGGAAGAAGAAGGGTGCATGAAGAGGAAGTTGTAGTCAGGGAAAGAAACTGCAGCCTCCCAGGGATGACACGGTGTCACTTGATAAGAAGGTCCAGGTGGTGACAACGTTTAGGGGTAGTTCAGAGGAGAAGTAAAAGGTCAGGAGAGATGAGGCAAACAGAGAAGTGTGAGGTCAGGCTCTTCACCGGGGGGTGTCATCTCTGTGAGTACTGCTTGCATCATTAGGGAGGGGCAGGCAGAGAAGAAGGAAGGGAGAGAGAGGAAGAGAGTAAGCCCGCTGCAAAAAAACACTGGAGAACAGAAAAGCCCATCCCTGGGCTAGGCAGGTACCAACACAGAGAAAGGCCAAGCAACCAGATAATATGGACTCCGAGGCGGGGCCGTGGTGGGAGAGAGAGAGAGAAAGGTCCTTGAGGGTGGGGCGGGGTGTCGGTTATCTTGTTCATCTTTGTATTTCCTGCAGAAACCACAGTTCTGGCACATAGTAGGTCTTGGTAGACCTCTGCTTAATTCCCTTGTAGTAACAATATTTTGTTTTCACGTGACGGAAAGTTAGTTTATATTTGGGGTGTTAATATTTGAAGTATCTTAAAGTAGCCAGAAGAACATCTTCATTATTCTAAAGTACTGTTTTTCCCCCTGTCTGGTTTAAAGTGATCTTTATTATTCCCATTTAATTATAAAATAACACATGCCCCAAACTTTAAGAATAGATACATCCACCCAAAAAAACCAACCAACCAAACCAAACCAAAATCCCCATAATCTCATTGGCCAGTGACTTTTTTTTCCTGGGCCTAAACTTTTAATTAAAGTATATTTTCCTATCGTTGTACATATTTTTGTTGTTTTCACTCAATGTATTGTGCATATGATGAAAAATATGGCTCTTTCACTTTGGCCTTAATGGCACATATGGGTCTATTGTCTAAATGTGCTATCATTTACTTCTTTAGACTTTGATGTTCTCAGTATTGTTTTGTTTTGCTTTGTTTAAACTATGCTGTCATCAACATCCTAGTATTTAAAATCTATGTGCAAAATGAATGATTTCCTTAGGCTAAATCTCAACCTGAGTTACTTGATTGTAAGTTTGACATGTTTTTAAGCATTTTGATATATATTGTCATGTTTCCTTCCAGAAAGTTATACCAATTAATACTTCTGCCAGAAAGCTGTATCTGAGAGCTTACTTTTCTACATCTTGTCCAACTGAGCACTAGTATTTTTCATTCCTTTTTTTTTTAAATTGGCAAGAAGGTTAAAACTACATTTGAAAAATTTGCTTCTTAAAAACTGAATCTAAACCTTTTCTCATATACTTATTGGCCATTTGTACTCCTTTCTATAAAACGCTTTTTCAGACATTTTGTCCATTTTCCCCATAGCGGTGTTATGTCTTTTTTTTTTTTAATGAACTTACAGCAAATATTTTGGTCTAGTTTGTTTTTCAAAGTCCTAAACATTTTAAAATGTAACTTTTTTATTACTAAAAATTTCAAATATATACAAAAGTAGAGAGAATAGTATATCAAACCCCCATGTTCTCATCAACTCAACACCCAGATTCAACAATTACCAACTCATGGCTAATCAATCATGTTTTTTTTTTCTTTCTTCTTTTTTTCCTTTTCTTTTCTTTCTTCTTTTTTTTTTTGCAGCAAATTATCAACATATTATTTCATCTGCAAATATTTCAGTACACAGAAGACTGAAAATTACATAGTCAAATCACCAATTTTTTCCTTTGTGATTTCTGCCTTTGTTATTAAGCTCAAAATAGCACAAAAATTTTCATCTATAGTTTCAGTTGTCTTTTTGTTTCACTTAAAAATGTTTTTTGGTTTTTTGGTCCATCAGAATTGAACTTTATTGTTTTTTTCAAATATTTAACCAGTTATCAAAATAAGTTAATATATCTCTACCAATTTGAAATATCAACTTTATCTCAAGCGAAATACACACAGCTAGATCTGTCTGGTCTTCTGCTGGTACTACTGTCTTCTTCTCTGAGTATATACTTAATATTCATTATTGTTAACTTCATGGAATAACACTGTAGAACAATCATTCATGTACACTCTTTTCATATGCAACTATCCAAAATTCTGAAAAAAAAACCCCTTAAAATTGAAGCCATGGTATTGTTTGTTATCACTTTAAAATTAGATTTGCAAGATTAGCATATAAAATGTTGTTCCTTCCCATTTTCTTTTAAAAAAATTAACCTATTCTATTACATCTTTGCACATTAAA